ACTTGGAATCATGACTTGGGTCTTCAAAACATCTCCATATACCACTTGTTTCACCTCCCACTCTCCCTTAACCTAATTTTCTTTCCTCCTAAGATCTCTACACCTACAAACACATCTTTTAGATATTTTTTTAAGTTGATGGCTTGGAAGCCATTGAAAAATACGGAGCTTCAGTGCAGCTACCAAGAGATCAAAATAGAGATTGCTTTATCTCTATTTTGTTGTGTTCATCTAGATGGTAAGCATCAAGTTCTATAGCTCACTCATATGATAACTTTATCTAGAGTTTTGTTGGAACCAAAGTAGAGTGGAGTGGAAAATTTTGAGTCCGCCAATCCTCCAACAAGTAAATCTTGTAATAGTATCGAGAAGCCGAACATCGTCTCCTCTTGTCACCTATAAGGGAGAAGTCGGTATCTATAAGAAAACAGTCTAATAATCAAGTCAGTCTTTGTTCAAAATGATTACAGCACAAACATTGCGCTTGTTTATTGTTTCTCACTTGTTGACACGTGAATTACTTATTAAAGCTATTATGAATCTTTGTTGACATGTTGCCTTGCTTGACACATAGTTGTTGCTAAAACCACCGGGTCCTACATTGACGCATTAGTTTGGGTTCCTAGGTTGTTCATTGTGTATGTGATATTCACATACGATACAGCTGTGTCATCTTTTGTTAGTCCGTATTGGTTGACAAACTTAATCATTTATTCATGTTTTGTTACCACACTTATGTGTGCACCAATTGTTTGATGAAATGCCACAATGAAACATGGTTTAATATGATGCTAAGGCACAGTGGGGGCATTAGGAGGGAGGGGGAGCGAAATGTGCAGTCGCACATGCCCCCAAAATTTAAGGGGCCCTCAAAAATTTTGTCATCTAATATTATGTAATAATGTTCTATGTTTAAAACATTGTTTTTGTTAGCACTTTAAAATCTCAGTGTGCACTCTTTATAAGAGTAATTTTTCCTTTCTAAATATAAAAATTTAGAGTACAATGAGATAATTTTGAGGGTCGATAATAACACCATGAAAAAATAACGTTTTTTCAATTTTATTATATAATAATGTGTTATATTCAAGTGAAACTTTAAAGTTAGAGTCTGGAAGTTTATTTTTCAAGTTTGGTTGCCAAGATTGTACTGTTTTTTGATTATTTAGTGAATGTTATATTTGTCACTCTTTTTACTAATAATTACTGACATTTGTAAATTTGCAATTAGTGAGTGCTAAAGTTTATTTTGATTTAAGTGATTGTTTTCTAGCATCAATACATTATTCTACATTTTTTAAAATATATTAAAAAGGGGCCTTTTATGAATTTCGCACCGAACCTCCGAAATTTCAGAAACGGTCATGCTGAGGCACTTAGCTGTTGCTAGATCTTTTGGCTTCTAGATATAATCACACATATTCACCTCCTTAGACCAACTCCAATGGTGAGCTAAAAGCCAAATTACCCCACAAAATTTCTCCCCAAACCCACTCCAACCCAAGGGGAAATTTTGGGCTAAATACTAAATGCTAAATATTTTTCATTTCCCACCAAGTTTATTATTATTTTTCTTTTACTCAACGATATTCTACTCCAATGGGATAAATGGTATTATACCCTATGAGAAGGAGATTAGGCTAGCTCCAAAGGGGTCAGCCACTAACTAGGTAGCAAACTCAATACAAATATAATATGTTATCGCCCTCTATGTGAATCGAACCTGAAACCACTGACGTGGAAGTAAAAAGTAGTACCATTAGACCATAATACTAGTTGGCATTTAAAATTTTATAATGTACACCAAAATCACAAATGTGATAAGTTGTGAGACCAATTAAATTCTCTGAGCTAAGTTATATTGAATGAATAAAATCCAATGGGAAACGCTTTCCATAAAATGGTATATAAAAGATTAAAGAAAAATGAACCTAGGCCAAGTAAAAGCAATGCACATAAAAACATCAATACACATACGATGTGTTTCAAAATCAAACAAAATAACATATAGAATGTATTTTTTTTTTTCACTTAAAAGATAATGTTTATAAGAAAATAGTTCAACAAACAACTAAAATACCAAAATATTAAGCCAAAGGGAAACAAATTTACAAGCCCAATACACAAAATTAATGCAAACAAAAAGACGCACCAACACTTACAAAGTGAAGGAAAATAAGTATAAAAATCTTGTCTTGATTTATTTCAGACAACAAGCTATGATGCTTTACCATAGTGGTGGAAATTAATAATACCTATGTACTTTAGTATGATTTCGTGCCCTCACTAATCCCCCCTCCTCACCCAAAACATTTAAATTTCACCGACTAACGCTATTGATTGTAAAAATAAAAAATAAAAAAATCGATGTGCATATATTAAAAAAAAAAAAATCAACTTTAGATTAAGAGGAATTGAGATAGAGATTACCCTCGATGACTATTTTTGATTCAATAATCAAAGTGTTACCTTTGATGAAAAGGCCTTCATTGGCAAACTCCTCGTTTATAATGGAATGAAGATGAGAAAATCTGATAGAGGATTTAGTACCACCAAAATCTCATTTAGCCTACCAACCTCAATTGTTTATCTCTTTGTTCGTTCGCTCATTAGAAAACCCTAATGAGAGAGGAAGAGAGAGATAAAGTTACTTATATAGTCACATGTGTGAAATTTCCACAAAATCCTTCCCATATATGATCATTTAGTATTAGTGGGCCTACTACGCTATTTTTAGATTGAAGTTTTCATATAGCTTAAGTCACAAACTTAATGGGTTCAAGCCCAAAGTGCCTAAAATCTAAAATTATTTTAAGGCCCGCAATAAGAGCAATTCCACTCATTTGGATGATAATTGCCTGGGTTTTTGGACAATTTGCAATTATTGCCTTATTGAACAGTAATCGCCTAAGGGCATCTCCAATCCTAAAAATAAATCACCTGGTCAATTAGTATTGAAAATCGATTTTAACAAAAAAACTAATAAAAAATATTATATTATTATTATCATAAATATCTTATTTTCTTAAAAGTGATCATCACTCTAGAGAACTCTTGTGTCCCACTTTCTCTCTCCCTTTCTATCTCCTCATCTTCTTCTCCCATCCTTTTCTCCCTCACCTCTACTTCCCATCCCATATAAAACTTAATCACCCAATTTATCCACAAGATGCCTTGCATACCCATCTATGACTTGTCGAAGAATAAAGGGTTTGGTCAAGATCATTGTCTTCAACAAGAGGAATCTTGCAGCAGCTCGTCGTCTTCAGCTGGAAAGAACAACGACTTGTCTGATGGGTCATCGAAGGGGAGAAATCTGACGTCGTATATGAGTTTCCAAAGCTTGGGTCATCTTTAGTTGAAAGGAAGGTCATCGAGGGGGAGAAATCCAGTGTCCAAAAAGTATTTGACAGGATTGACGTCAAATTCACTGAGGCGCTAAGGCGGGGCAGGAATGGCCCGAATTCTTGATCTGTGGGTGTAGAGCCCAATGGATGGCCCAACTGATATTTATCTTCACTTGTAAGTAGGGGTGTATAAACCACTGGATAGCCCGATTGATATTTTTATTTTCACTTATAAGTAAAAGATCGAATTTTGCAAACAATTTATCTTTACCTCTTTAGTGTAGGTATATATTGTTGTATAAAAAATTTCAGAAACAATCGTTGCTCTTTTATCTCTAGGAACCTGAAAATGTAGTAGATTGGTACTAGGCCTTTGAAAACCAAGGTTTGCATAACTTAATAGGCTTATCCTTCACATTAGGCCGTCTCCAACTAAAGGAGGGCTAGAAGGATATTTTTATTTTCACTTGTAAGTAAAAGATCGAATTTCGCAAACAATTTATCTTTACCTCTTTAGTGTAGGTATATATTGTTGTATAAAAAATTTCAGAAACAATCGTTGCTCTTTTTATCTCTAGGAACCTGAAAATGTAGTAGATTGGTACTAGGCCTTTGAAAACCAAGGTTTGCATAACTTGATAGGCTTATCCTTCACATTAGGCCGTCTCCAACCGAAGGAGGGCCAGATGGCTCCTTTTAGCCCTATAGCCCTCCAAGAAATTAATATTTTAATAAACAATGCAGGGCCATATTTCTTACCATTTCCAACCGAGAGGCTAGAGGGTCATATGCCAAATATAGCCCTGTGACAAAAAATCATCTCCAACCGAGGGTAATAGGTCCAAACATAATTTATTATTTAAATTTAAAAACTACAACAACTTAAATTTAAAAACTACAACTTAATTTAAAAATGTTGTTTAAGTTTCATGTTGTTAAATGTTTTTTTTTGTTTAATGTTATTTAATGTTATTAATATTGTTGAATGTTGTTTCATGTTACGTAATGTTGTTTAATGGTTTAGGAAGTTATAGGAAAAAAAATAGAATTTTAAAGTTAAAAAAAAATTGTAAAAAAAAAATAAAAATTCAAATATAACGGCTAGCTAACATCAGCTAGTAGCCGTTGCATTCAAAATTCGGCTCCCGGGGCTAGTTGGCTGGGTTGGGCAAGCCAGTTAGCCCTTTTCTCCTTTTTTGGCCCGATGGGGCCCACGAGCTCTTTACGCTAGCCTTCGGTTAGAGACGGTTTTCGTGTCATTTCAAGTTATTTTTGACCCTCTGGCCAGATTGGTTGGAGATGGCCTGACTAGGTTGGGCTTTAGGGTCAGACCTATGCAAGAGAATTGACCAAACGACATGTTTCAAAAACGTTGCCACCCTATACCTATAACAATATCTTCCCCCCAAAAACTCTTCGGAAAATCTCTACCTCTCTCTCTCTGGCTACTAGCTCAGGGTGCAACTTTGCTCACCTCTAAGGTGAGGGCAATCAATGAGGGGCAAGCGGCCCGTTCGAAAACCGACCGAAAAAGCAAAACCAAAAAATCCAAACTGAAAAAAAAAAATTTGAACCGAACCGAAACATGTTGATTTTGCCCATGAGAGGCTGAAATGCCTCTGTGATAGCGAGTCTTTCTGACTCTCGAAAATTATGGATAACCATGACTTGTCAGTAGTTGTTCCTTTTTTTTTAAATTAAAAAAAAAATTGTTGATTCTGTTTTAAGTTTCAAAAAATTGTTGATTCTGTTTTAAGTTTCAGAGGTTCAAAAACCAAACCGAATTATTGAAAACAACCGTTGTGCAACAAACAGCGTGTTCGAGTACGACGTCGTATGGTAACCCTAATGTAACCCGCCCTAATTTGAGAATTCCTTCAGAACTCCAAACCACTCGCCTCCTTTGCTCATCCAGAACTCCAGAGTCCAAACCACTTTCTCTCTCTTCAGTCTTCACTGCTGCAGCCTGCCACAATGCCACTCGCCGTCGCGGCCTTCGCCCTAAACCCTTTCTTATTCGCGACTTCCTCCAACTAACGTTCAGAAACCGCTCGCCGCTCGCAGTTTTCGGATTTCAGTCCGCCTTCGCTCGATTCGTCGCTGGCTTCTCCGTAATTCTTCCGTTCTTCTTCTTCGCCCTTTGCTCTGCTCCTCCGCCGCCCTCTGCAGTCTTCTCCCACCCACAACACACTCTCTGTTTATATCTCTCTGTCAGAAGGCTTCTACCAGTTTCCATTGGCTCTCAACGATTCTCAGAAGCAAAATTTCAGTTTCCCTCTCAAGCTCTTCGACATTACACAGGTATTCAGTTTACCCCCTTAACTTTCTGTTTGGATGTCGAGAAAATCACGGAAAAGATGCAAAATTGTCAAAATTGAGATGGATATGATGGTGAAATAGTAAAAGGTTTGAGCAGGAATTTTGTGACGGCAGAAAACGCTGCGAAAAAAAAAATCCGAAGAGGGCCCCAAGTCCTTGCTAAAGATTTTGCACTGTGACTTTCGCAACCTCTTCGAAATTGAACTTGAAAACTGGGGTTTGATCTGGTATCAGCCTCAGTGGATGGGTCGTATGAAAAGGCGTGGGGTTACATTCTAATATTGAATGCCAGCCTAGACTGCTCCCAACATTTTAATAGTTGCTAGTACGCTAGTTGCTATCTGCCGTCACGAAGTTCCTGCATTGATCAAAGATCTTTCTGCTGATCCATCTATGCGAATGTGATATGATTGTGGCGGATTTGCTGTTATTTGTATCGGTCTAGATTTGAAGTTTTGATTCTTTGTTGTGGTTGAAAAATTGGGGAAAAGGTTTGGGATTTATGAGTTATGGAAAATGCTTTAGAACCCAATTTTTTTCTTTGAAATTTGGCGGTATGGGGTCGAGCCAGTGTATGTTTGATTTGATTGTATGAGCTTTAACTTGTTGGTTGTATGATTGAATCTGTAGGTTGTGTTTTCTTGTTTTCAGATTGCAGTTAACTCTAGTGTTTCCGATGGCAGTGTTGATATTGTGCATTTAAAACAAATCTTTTGTGCGTATTATCTTATTGTAAGTGAATGGTGCATGGTTTTTATGTGATGGGTTGCCAAGTTTGTGCGGTTTTGGTCGTTTGGATGCCAGCATTTCCTTTCTATGAGAGGTTTTATGATGTTTGGTATTAAATTTTGCCTCGAGTTGATGATTATCTTGTTTTCATCTTGGTCAATTAGGGTATCCCCTTGTTGATGTGTTTAGCTATTTATTTTTCATATGCGTAGCTGCGCGTTCTCTTCTGGTAGCAAGAGTCCATTTAATCACGTTCTTTTCCTTGTCTTCCATTTTGATTGTTGAAGAGTCTCTGCTGGAGTGTCTGTTTCTAGAGCTACCAAGATTCTATTTGTCTCCTCCTCCACAGTTTATCGCCTTTTTTTTCACCTTGAAGCCATTTGCTACATTCAGATTTGATTCCCGCATCAATTGTGCACAAACACGTCACATGAAGGTATAGACATTACTGTTTGGTTCAACATGGCCTTCGCATCGTGTTCTAAAGGTTGATGTGATTACTTGTTCATTTGAGTGTTTGACCTTATTTTTCGAGTTAACTCTGTGCAAAGTATTGCGTGTTGTGCCTTGTTTAGGAGGCGGTCTAGCCGGGATCAACCCGTACATCGTCTGAATCAGTTTATGACTCAGGTATTCAAGTTCTGGAAAAGAAAAGAACACAATAGTGTGAAATGAAATTTGAGCAATCTCAGCTCTGGCAGCATCCTTTGGCATGCTCTGAATTGTGTAAAATAGTAAAGAAATGTCAGTTTTCATGGGCTGCAAACGTTGTACCTAGAGTGATATGTAGCGCTTATTTAATAAAAAAAAGAGGCCAGTGTTGTTTTGATATCTGAAATATTCAAGATAATGACACTGCATTTGCTTGTTCTTTTCTAAAGATGACGATGTATCAGCGGACGCGACACACAAGCTCTCTCTCATACGGAAAATAAATGGATGAGATTGAAAATAGAAGATCTAACATTTTTAGAAATTAAATCTATGGCTAAAACACGAGTCACTGAGTGCTACATTGCATTGAAGTTGGACTCCAAATGAAGTATATCTATCGTTTAGAGTTTCAAATGCGTAGGTTTTGAGCAAGTGATTTGAAAAAAGAAAGGGTTACCTATGAGAATTATTATTGGTACTTCTTTTACATCTAGTAAGTTTAAAGCGCACAATTATATTTTTAGAGTGTCAATAACAGTTATCGTTCTTGGTCTGGTAGTATTTCTCTTCACCTAGAAATGAGAGGTCTTAAGCTCAAATCTAGTGGATGGTGAATTTCTAGGTCTTAGGCTCAAATCTAATGTATAACGTATTTAATAACAAATTAGGTTGTTTATTATATGACTTAGCCGCACTTTCTCTTCTCGTTGTGTAAAAATATTATCGATGTAATAAAAATAAAAATAAAACAGTTACTGTTCTTATTTGGGCCGTGTTTATCATGCCGATTTTAACCTATGCATTCATTTGAATGAAACTGATTAAATTAATTTAATTAGTTGATTGTTTATTTTCACGTATATATTTTTAATAATTAAAAAATATTAAAAAATTCAGGAAAAAAAAAAAAAAAAAAACTTTTCCACCTTAAATAAATATGAGTGTTGAATTAATAGAGCTTCTAAAATGGAAAAGTGGCGCCGACCACAGACGAGGGATATACATTCACAAAAAGTTCACCGAAGAATGAGTATATGGTTCCAATCAGGATCATGAATCATCACTCCCACCTCTTTTGCTTTCATGACTTTGTAGTTTGCTTGAAAATAAATCATACGTTAAAATATAAATGAACGATAAATAGAGAGTATAATTTAAGGTCAAAAGTCATAAAAAGTTGCTTATAAAGGCTTCAATTTCGTCACGTTTATCATTGTGGTTTACTTCTAATACCAATTTGGTCTATCTATTGTTCAATTTTCTTCAACTTGTCTAACTGGGTCCATGCTTCACGTGTAGGGGCATTATAATCTTATCGTACTCAATTTCACTTAATAGTTGGAAGATGCAAGCTCAAGTTTTAGAACATGATATTTTGGGTAAGATTAGGCACTTGCAACCAAGTTTTTTTCGAGTTTGTTTGGAGTGAAATTAGAGTTTACTCCAATTAGTCAAGTGAGATTGTACACAAAATGATTATACATGGGCAAAACTTGTATGCCAATTTAAAATTAATGTTACAAGTAATGGCATGTTTGGTTACTTCTATAAAAACACTTATCTTCATAACCATTTTTTTCAGGAAGCACTTGAATTTCTAAATTCTAAGTTTTTATACCAAACGTAGACAGAAAACATTTTTAGACCTTCCAACAGTAATCTCATATAATTCCTATCATGACAATTTAAATAAAGCACATGTTATAATATGAATGGGTTTCAAGATCGTGTTAATATCAAAAAAAATTTATTTGTTTGGCATTCGAAAAATAAAAATTTTACATATGACTGAATCCGTGACACCACATTTTTTATCAATCTCATTTTCGGATACTACCGTCCAATGATGTAGCTTATTTTGGCGTGTGAAACACTAAGTAATAAAGAAATGGTTGACAAAATATTCTCGTAAAGAAGTTATAATTTAACTTAAGACGTGTTCTTTTTTCTAATTTTTCAATAAAGTACAGAAAACAAATCAAATGACCGCCCCACTCAAATTGTTTAAGTGCCCACTAGTTGACCTAACCATATAATTTGGGTTTTAGTGTTGCAAACTGCATCATCTTTTCCACTGGGTTTCAATAATTTCCAAAATTAAATAAATAAAAAACATACAAGGAGATTCCATATATATATATATATATCGGCCATTTAATAGAAGGAAATGGAAATTAGTTGTATGGCCCATATCACATTGAACTTCAACGATCTGAACCGTCTATTTTATAAGCCTTAATTCATAGATCATCCTTGCAAAAATTTGTTTCAATCCGAAACTATTTGCATATTTAATTGTTACGGTGATTTAACGCTTTTTAGAACAAAGTATTCGTCAATTTTATTGAACTCAAGTTGATGTCTCAAATATTTTTGATTTGGCTAATATTTTGCAAGGATGATATGTGAGGTGCAACTTGAAAAAATAAACAGTTTGAATCGTTGAAATTCGATGTGATGTGCGCCCCACCACTAATCCCTAATTTTATTTTTTTTAAATGAAAATTCCTTTCCTTAGACCATCTCCAACCCTTGGGCTAAAACCTAAATTTTTTAGCCCAGAAACAGTTTTTCTGCTCCAACCCTTCTGACCTAAATTTGTTAGCCTGAGATTATTAAAGAATAAATTTAGGCTAATTTTTTCTTTTATAGTAATTTAAAAAAAAATTATGTACACTATCCTAATTTTATTTTATGAACATTTTAACTTAAAATATTTAAATTCCGATAAATATTGAAAAATCACTCAATTTGGGTGAATTTTGAGTTAAATAATTTTTTTAAATTATTTTAGCCATTGGATTTAAATTTGGGCCGTTAAATTTTTTTTTTTTTTTTACTTTTAGATTTGATTATATTCGATCTTAGCGTTGAATTCAATAAATCTTAGGAGACATGCCCATGCGGGTGAGGTCCCGCTGGTGGTGCTCACACCATTTTCTGAGCTAAATCCTGGGGAAATTTGGCTTTTAGCTTTTAGCCCACATATTTAGCATGAATTGGGTTGGGTTTTGGGGTGGAATAAAAACTAAAAATAGCATTTAGCCCAAAGTTGGGTTTGGTCTTCAAGGTTATATATATATCGCATTTTATGATATGCATGTGTAATTTGAACCACATTATTATTAAGCAATGTAAGGTTAAGTCTATTCCTCTTATTAGTGTAGATAATATTATTTGTTTAAATAAATAAAAAAGAAGAAAAAAAAGAAAAGAGAGAATCAATGTCGTGGGAGAAGAGCAAGCAACAAAAATGCTTGAGATGAAAATAGTTTTATATTCTTCATTATATTAATTTGTTATTAAATTATCATTTGAAAAAAAATATCTTGAGAAGTAAGTTGTACTGAAAAATGCTAGGCTTATGCCATTTATGGTACAATAGCCACGTCATCGTCGACTAAACCGTCTGAGTGAGTGATTTTTAATTTATGTTCGTTGGAAGAAGTAAATTAAAAGAGAACAAAAACAAAAACAAACAAAAAAAGTAGAAGAAGCATGCGAAAATCACTATTACTCTTTCTGTTGAATAATTATAGTATAGACTTGCATATTTCACTTTGTCTACTTCGGATTGTTTTGAGCAAGCTAAGGTAAACATGATTTTATTCAAGCACCCTAGCTCGTTGAGAATTTTTGCTAATTAAATGGATTTGACTATGCATCTTTTTACTGTATCTTGCTTAATGATTATTAATAAAAAAAATTTCCTCGTACCGTAGAGGTTCTCTAAAATCAATTATAAGTATATATAGACTGAACAAATTTTCTTGTCAAGGAAAGAAATACTATACTAATCTTTGTTAAAAAAAAGAGGTCTAAATCTTGTGGAAAATGATTAGTAGGTATAAGGAAAGTACACCACATGGTTCGTTTACAATTTTTTTGGTAACAAAAAATAATGCTGGAAAATTATGAACCATTCAAACAACGAAGAGAATTCGGTCATCTTCAATTAAAATGGCTAAATATAGGCACATTTTTTTTCGTTGATTTGAGAATGTATTCATGTCAAGTTTAATCGGAGAAATTTACTAATGTTATTAAGTCTAATATCTTCTTCTTCTTTTTTTTTTTTTTTTTTTTTTTCTTTCCTTTTGTGTTGCTTTGAATAATGTTTTGGATACACACACACACACACACACACAAAATATATTGAAGAGTAATAATTTAAATTTTAATATTTTTAATCTCACAAATTATTTATTTAAATCTCTTTAATATAAACACAAATTTTAATTTTTAATTCAAAAAATATAGTAACCTACATAGAAATATCAAGGTTCTATGATACCTTAAAATGCGCATGACTTGTAAGTGAGAGATTTTAGGTTTGATTCTCGCTGAAGGTGAATTTAAACCATATTATTGCTAGCATATTATGAGGCTTAACCCACTTTCACATTCCCAATGAGATTTCATTAGTATTTCCGGCCATCTGAAATCAACTCAACTCAACTCCCCCCAATTAATTATTTATTAACAACCATCAATACAAACCCAAATCTTTTACCAACACAATACAATTGAACGGACTTAATTTAATTCAATACGGGCGCTCAATTGTAAATTTTTTTTAGTGTAGTTATCACATTATACGTAATGATATTATGATGTGTGTGTTGAATTATTATATTATAACCATTTAGTATTATGATACAGTGGTATTCATTTTCACTGGTAAGTGGTAAGTCGGAGGTCTCAAGTTTGATTCTCGCCAAAGGCAAATTTAAACCACATTATTGCTAGCCCATTGTGAGGCTTAACTCACTTTCCCACCCCCTTTAGTATAGATATATTGTTCATTAAAAAAAATATATTATAGCCTAGTTCCATACAATATTGACCTCGTTGCTCAATAATTTTATATACCATGTCAATTAACAACACTGTGATGGCGCAACTGTAACACTAAAAGAAAATAAAATTTCGAATTTGAGGATTCAAACAATTCGAAGGTCTAGTCCGAGTTGGAGCATCTCCAATGAGAGCTTTATCTTCCTTGAGGCTACCACATTTGTTGCTTCAATGAAAAATTTCATCCCCAATGGGCTGAAAAATGGAGCTACATTTGTTACATGGGCTAGTAACTTCAATCCTTGAGTAACAAAGAGTTAGACTACATCTAGTCTCAAAAAGTGGGGGATCCACGCCAAATTGAGGGCCCAATCTTTTATTTATTTATTTTTATTTTATATATTGTAGAAATGGGTGAGCTCCATTTTTAATTCCAAAACTTGATTTTAAGAGTTTATTTTTCAACTGTTTAGGATTTTAAGGATTTATTTTCAACCGTTTGTTTGATTAAGAAAACATATACAAACAACGACTATTTTTTGTGTGATTGATTAGAAAAAAATGTTGTGCTTTGTGTTTTAATTTTCTAGATTATAAGCCTATCCAATGGTTGTTATGAAATGAAAATCTTGTTTGATTTCGGAGAACTTGTCAATCAGAGAAACAACATCCATTGGTTGTTATGAAATGAAATCTTATCCTGTTTGATTTCATAGAAATAAACAAACGAATGAGATTGAGATAAGAAAGCCTACAACAGTGCATAAATGTTGAAATCTAACTTTGTCAGAATTTGAATTTTTTTAGGTTAAAAAATTCATAAATTAAAATTTAAGATAGCGCTCCAAAAATCAAGTTAAGAAAAATTAAGACAAAAATAAATTTACTGTGCAATCAAATTACAACAAAATAAAATATATTAGCTCCATATAGAGCCTCAAAGATATAAAGCCCTTTATTGGGAGAAATTTTCTTTTAGAGCCTTAAAGATTTCTTGGAGCTCTAAATTGAGTTATATCCACCACTTTTCTAGTTCCATATAGAGTCCCTCATTGAAACGCTCTTACAAACCAAAACATGATTCTCAATAATTTTATATACCATATCAATC